CTGGCCTGCTTTGCTGATGTCCTGCCAGCTTCACTGGGGTTGATGTAGAGTCCGCGATACACGCAGACAAACTCTCCACATCCAATCCTCCGCACGGCACATGCGCCCAGACCCTTGCAAGTTGTCTCCACCCTCCCAATTGCACTGAAGTCGTCCACACGGTGTTGAACTACGCGGTTCGGGCAGCAGACGGGATGACAGGTACAGGAGGAGTTGCATTCGTAGATCGGACGGCGGAGAGGCAACAACGTGGATTGGAAAAGAACCTGAGTGTCAGCATGGTAGTTGAGGCCACCGCAACGACGCAGACAGGCGCATTGAAGGGGATCAACGCAGATATCGGGACAGTCGCAGCCAGGCAGTTGGGAGAGGATGAGGTCGGGAGGAAGGCTGTCGCTGAAGAACATCTACGAGGGGAAAGGGAGACCTAGAGAGAAACAAAACTCGTTTAAGGTGGAATGGTTGGTTGCAGAAAAAGGACAATAGGAGGCCGCAATAACTAAAGTACGGGCTGGAAGGATGACATCTCCAATATAATACCGCCTTAGCCACTACAGCGATTATGTGCAAAAAACCGCGGGAGAGACCTCACAACTCGCTCCCCTTCAAGTGGGACGACACGAGGAGAAGTAACACAACGCGTGTAATCTTAGATTCTGACGCACAAAACAACAAATGAAGACAAAAAGCACCCCGACACAACTGCTACAATACACTGTGCACCAGGGAAGGACATGGAGAAGAGGCGAGTACGAAAACACGATAAGGCAATAATGGCGCATATACAAGGTGACGAGAGAAGGGACCTGATGTAGGATACAAAACTAGGGATAACAGAGTATCATTGCACTTCATTAGTGCAACATCCATACAGTCATGTAAAAATACCTTCAGAACGAACCGTAGTCGTGGCGTGTTCACAATCTACTTCCCAAACCGCCGGATTACAGCTTACTGCAGTCAATTTATTTATTTAGCCATGAAATTAACACAAAACAAGGAAACGAGTGCGCCAAGTGGCATCGGTAGTACGTCAGGACACGTTCTTCGCCAGAAACTCTGGCCAAAATTAAGGCTCAAAACCCAGTATTCCGCCGAACAGACACCAAACACTTGCCGTTCCATCGGAGCGTGCGACAACAATTTGACTTCGGCGCTAAGCTGGGCAATCGAAATAAAAAATGACAGTAAACTACAAATCACAATGAACGACAGAACCATCAATGGTAAATTTTCATGCAAATAGCTTTTCCATTTAGGTGACGGACTGACAACAAAGT